ATAGATAGATAGATAGATAGATAGATAGATAGATAGATAGATAGATATTGTCACCCCAAAGATGTTTTTGGATTTAGAAAAGATCAGCACTGCCTCTTCCAGGAAGCATTAAGAAAAAAAGCATTAGGAGTGTGGGAGGGGATATAATTGATGGAGACCCCTCCTCTCTCCTGATATATCCACACATCTGGCCCAAGCCCAGACAGATAGATAGTCATCTGGAAGATATTACTACTTTTTATTAGAGAAGGAAGAAGTCTTTAAAATAAATAAATAAATAAAGCTCTCTTGGAGGAGGAAAAACAACGGAGTGATTTGGAACATGAAAGGGTGAGGAAGAAAGGAACGTGCTGTGTGAGTTTTGCACCATGGTTTAGGGAATCCTTGATGTTGTTAAGTGAGTCACACAGTCATTAAATGAATCAGGCTGAAGAGTTTAGGTCAGGGGTCTCCAAGCTTGGCAACTTTAAGACTTGTGGACTTCAAGTCTTAAAAGTCCACAAGTCTTAAAAGTTGCCAAGTTTGGGGACCCCTGGTTTAGGTCGTTAAATGGATCAGGCTGAAAATTAGTCATTAGTCGTTAAATGAATCAGGCTGAAGAATTAGTCCCAAATTAAATAAAACTCTGAGCTATCCAGGAAAAAGAAAGAAAGAATCCAGTTGTGTAGAAGCATTCTTGGGCAATTGTGTTTGCCTTTGAATCTTCATTTTTGCTTTTTCAACCAGAGATGGGGGGGAAATCACAACCATCTTGGTTGACAAGCATAGCAACGTGACGCGTGGCCCAGCTTAAACTCAGTTTAGCTAAGATCTTGGAGTCTTGTTTTTTTTTTTCCCCCCCCAGGGGTGGTCCCACTTCCCGACACCGCCCTCGATTTCTCCGATCTGAGGAGCAGCAACAGCAGCAGCGCCGCGCATCAGAACAGCCGTGTGAGTTGTGAAATTTGCAGGTTTCTGTACCCACAAGAGGACCAAGGCCTCCATGGCAGGCCCTGTTGATAGCCACGAAGGGGAGGAGAGAAAATGGCACATTTATTTTCTGTATTTCCCTATATTGATATGATTGGGCAGCCACTTAGATCAGAATCTCCCAACCTTGACAGCTTTATGAGGGGTGGACATCAACTCCCAGAATTCCCCCAGCCAGATGGCTTTCATGCCTAAGGCGGGACTAGAACTCCCAGTCTCCTGGTGATTGG